TTCTAATATTTTTGTGAGTCTCTCATCTTCATCTGGTATCTCCTTTTGCTTCCATCTTCTGGCATAGAAAATTCTTGCTGCCGTTGTTATCAAGAAAAGGATTTTATCTGTATTTTTTCTATTTTTAATTCATGTATCCCTAATAAGAACAATTCTGCCTTCCATGGAATTTTGATTTTTAGAATTTCTTGTAGTTCTTTTTGCACCCCTTTCCAATACTCTTTCCAATACTTGCAGGTCCACCAGGAATGAAAGTATGAGCCTTCTTTTTCCTTACACTTCCAACATTTTGTGCTGATGTTTCTGTTACATTTCCCTAATTTTTTCGGTGTCATATACCACCGATGTGCAGTAATAATAAACCTTTATTTGTACCCCGCTACCATCTCCCGAAGGACTAGGTGCTGCTTACAAGAGGCCGAGCCCAAATACAATAGTAAAAACAACAGCAGCACCAGACAGCAAAATAACTCAGAAAACAAAGCAATAACATTGACAACACACAAAGACACAATTAAAAACAATGGCAGGGCCAAATGTAATAATTAAAATTAAAAGTGCTGGGCATGACCAGGTGGAGTGTTTTAATTTTAATTAAATTTTAATTAAATTAAATTAAGGCCAGGATTGAAAAATCAGCGGATGACCCAAAATGCAGACTGTGCAAGGAAGCTGATGAAACCATGGACCATCTCCTCAGCTGTTGCAAGAAAATCGCACAGACGGACTACAAACAAAGACCCAACTCTGTGGTCCAGATGATTCACTGGAACTTATGTCACAAGTACCACCTGCCAGCAGCAAAGAATTGGTGGGATCATAAACCCGCAAAGGTTGTGGAAAATGAACATGCAAAAATACTGTGGGATTTTCGAATCCAGGCTGACAAAGTTTTGGAACTCAATACACCAGACATGACGATTGTGGAAAAGAAAAAAGTCTGGATTATTGATGTCGCCATACCAGGTGACAGTCACATTGAGGAAAAACAACAGGAAAAACTCAGCCGCTATCAAGACCTCAAAATTGAACTGCAAAGGCTCTGGCAAAAACCAGTCCAGGTGATCCCAGTGATCATCGGCACACTAGGTACCGTGCCAAAGGATCTCAGCTGGCATTTGGAAACAATAAACATCGACAAAATCACGATCTGTCAACTTCAAAAGGCCAACTTACTTGGATCTGCACGTATTGTTCGACAATACATCACACAGTCCTAGACACTTGGGAAGTGTTCGACTTGTGAATTTGTTATATGAAATCCAGCATATAGATCTCGTTTGCTGTGACATACTGTGCTTTTGTGTCAATAATAATAATAATCTTATTTAAACCCCGCCACCAGCTCCCCAAAGGGGACTCAGGGTGGCTTACATGAGGCCAAGCCCGGTAATACATTACAGCAAAATAAATACAGAACGATAATAAAATAAAAATAATATTCCACTCCCCCAGCTATGCTGATAAAGTGATACTAAAGCACATTATCCAGAGAAGCAGATGCTAAAATATACATTAGTTAGTTGACTTGAGAGTTGCAGTGGAGAACCTGGGGATTCTAAAAAGATAATTTTAAACAAAACCAAATCTGCAAAGGTCGAACACAAATATACAGGGCCAACTATAAAGCTAATTTCTTACCCTACTTCACTTTCATTTTATGCCACTAAGGCTGGATCTACACTGCCCCATAATCCAGTTTCAGAATGTGGATTAACTGCATTGAACTGAATTGAACTGAATTATATCAGTCTACACTGCCCTATAGTCCAGATCAATGAGGTTAATCCACATTCTGGGCAGTGTAGATCTAGCCATAGTTGCTTTTCCTCCACAATGGAGCACTTTTTAAATGTTAAGATCCCTCATATGTGCAAAAACAAAAAAAAGGAGGAAGAGGGGGAAACAAATATGCAGCACCTTGAAGACTGGAGTATTTCTGGTTGCAGACAGAGTGATCATAAATCTGATGTATGTATGTAGATACCAGTAGTGGTGGTAGAGTGGTGACCCACATAGACTTCACTCTCATTTACCAACCTGGGGGTCGGGACCCCTGGGGGGGGGTGTTGCCAGGGGGTTTCAAAAGGGTCACCAAAGACCACCAGAAAACATATATTTCTGATGGCCTTAGAAACCCCTTTGGCAGAAAAGGCTGAAGATCTCTCCGCCTGTCGTTCTCTTCCTTTTTGGAAACAGATGTGAATCCTCCCACCAAAAGCCCTACTCCACTGTGATTGGCTGGCTTCTCAACCGGCCCCTCAGCCAAGGGGAGGACTGTTTCTGAGGTCAAGCTGGAGAGGGGAGAGCAGAGATTTTGTAAATCCACTGAGTCCGAACTGGGAGTTCTATAACAGCTGGGGCCGAAGCTTGCTCACTTTGGAAACGAAACTACAGTTCCCTTCTAGCTCCGGGGCCTGGATGGCGAGCCCTCTTCCCGGGTGTCTCAAAGGGTGTCCTTGTCCTTAGCAAAACTATAAGTTACTATATTTTATGGGAGGGGGGTCATGTTCGACTTCATGTGTGTTAACGCTCCTTCTCTTCAACCTCCCTGTACTGCTCCCATTCTTAGCTATGACCCGCTGCCTCCGTGCCCTTTCTTCGACCCTGGGCTGGATTTATTTATTCCCAAATCCCCATCTGTCGTTGTACAGGCTCACACACACCATACAGAAGTATGACCCAGTTCTGAGCATGGCCCAGAATTTAACCCCAGGGATTTCCAGAGCTTTCCCCAATGCAAACCAAAGGTCATAAAAGGGCACCCAAATGAGATGCCTGTCAAAAGTTACCGTGGATTTCGTAGGGCCTTTCCACACAGTCATATAACCCAGAATATCAAGGCAAATACCTGCTTTGTACTGGCCTATCTGCATCCACACTGCCAGATAATCCAGTTCAATATTGATTTTATACAGCTGTGTGGAAGACAATAAGCTGGCCAGCTAGAAGGACCCTGAGGAATCGCCGGCCATTTGGACACCACATATTTCCATAATCCACTCAAGACTTCATTGTTTCCCTCTCGTCCCGCCTCCCTCTCTCCTGATTGGCCAGGGGGCCGAGGCGGCAGAAGCTCATCCATTGGCTGAGGTGCTCAGGGGATGGCCAAGTCTCCTCCCAGCTGTACAGCGCCAACCAATCAGCACTGAGCCGGCTGAGGGGCGGGGAACAGGAGATTCAAATCTGACAGCTCTGTATATGTATAAAAAGGCTTAATTTTGTATTCAATACATGTCTGCTTGATGAATGATTGCGGTATGACATCCTTTCCAGCTGGATCGCAATAAATATCTCGGTGGCTTCTGCTTCAACTTGGTGAGATTTATTTTGCAATATTGGCTTCTCTTTTCTCACCAGGCAACCCACAATGGCTTGGGCCTAATCCACAGCCATTCTAAATTGCTCTGCAACAGTTGCAATGGCTTCAAACTACAAAAGAGGAGATTCCATCTGAACATGAGGAAGAACTCCTGACTGTGAGAGCCGTTCAGCAGTGGAACTCTCTGCCCCGGAGTGTGGTGGAGGCTCCTTCTTTGGAAACTTTTAAACAGAGGCTGGATGGCCATCTGTCAGGGGTGATTTGAATGCAATATTCCTGCTTCTTGGCAGGGGGTTGGACTGGATGGCCCATGAGGTCTCTTCCAGCTCTTTGATTCTATGAATAGATAGAATCAATCATTTATTGAGCTGTTTTATCCTGGTTTTAATCTTATTCGATAGTGTTCTAGCTTTAGCACTGCATGCACGTTTAATAGATAGACAGACAACATAGATAAAACTGTGCTTGTGCGTGTGTAAAAAAACCAAAATTATGGCAACAAGAATGATTGACAACTGGAAAATAGAGGGAGAAACCGTGGAGGCCGTGACAGACTTTGTATTTCTAGGTGCAAAGATTACTGCAGATGCAGACTGTAGCCAGGAAATCAAAAGACGCTTACTTCTTGGGAGGAGAGCAATGTCCAGTCTCGATAAAATAGTAAAGAGTAGAGACATCAGACTGGCAACAAAGATCCGCCTAGTCAAAGCCATGGTATTCCCTGTAGTAACCTACGGATGTGAGAGCTGGACCTTAGAGAAGGCTGAGCGAAGGAAGAGATGCTTTTGAGCTGTGGTGTTGGAGGAAAGTTCTGAGAGTGCCTTGGACTGCGAGAAGATCCAACCAGTCCATCCTCCAGGAAATAAAGCCCGACTGCTCACTGGAGGGAAGGATACTAGAGACAACGTTGAAGTACTTTGGCCACATCATGAGGAGACAGCAAAGCCTAGAGAAGACAATTATGCTGGGGAAAGTGGAAGGCAAAAGGAAGAGGGGCCGACCAAGGGCAAGATGGATGGATGCATCCTTGAAGTGACTGGACTGACCTTGAAGGAGCTGGGGGTGGTGACGGCCGACAGGGAGCTCTGGCGTGGGCTGGTCCATGAGGTCACGAAGAGTCGGAGACGACTGAACGAATGAACAACAACAACAACATTAAGGGGTCACGGCATTAGGATTGTTGAGAACCATTGTTCTAGAGGCATTTTCTCCTGACGTTTCGCCTGCATCTATGGCAAGCATAGATAAAACTGTGCTTGTGCGTGTGTGTATTTAAAATGGTTGTAAACTGCTTTCAGGCCAAAAAAAAAAACCCTGCTAGATATCCATCATCATAAAGCGGCAGCAAGTGTCACGTGACGGCAGCCTCCTCAGCACACCCTCCCCTCTCCGGCCGCCTTCTCCCGCGGGCGCGAGCTCAGGCGCGCTCCCGTCGTCGTCTTTACTTCAACCCTGCCCCTTGCTCGCTCTCGGTCACGTGACTCGGTTTGTTGTCGTCGCCGCCGCCTCTGCTGAGGCGGCCCGGCCTTGTGTGGGCGTCGGCGAGGTCACGTGCCGCGCGAGGGGAGGGGGGAAGAGGAGGGGGGAAGAGGAGGAGGGAGGCTCTGCCTCTTTCTTTCGTCAACAGCCGCTGGGAGAAGGGGAGGGGGAGGAGGGAAGAGGAAGAGAGGGAGGGAGGAAGAAAGGAGGGAGCCTCCGCTCCTGCTCCAAGATGGCGGACGAGGAGGCGCCGCGCCTCCAGCCCCGCGGCGGCCTCAGTCCCGAGCCGGCTCCGAAGCGCCTTCGACGGGGCTCGGCTGAGGAGGAGGCCGTCGCCGAAGGAGCCGTGGCGGAGGAGGCCCCCTTGGGCGGGAAGGAGGCCGCAGGAGGCGACGACAGGGGCTGGAGCCTCCCCGAGGACGGGCCGAGGCGGTGGGGCCTGGGCCGAAGGGAAGAAGAGGAGGAGGAGGAGCGCCAACCGCCGCGGCTGAGGGAAGGGGAGGGGGCGGGGGCGGCGCGCGCCGGAGAGGAGGCCGCGTCGGGGCCGGCCATTGGCTGCGGGGCGGCGCAGTCTGCCAACGGAGAGGCCCAGCAAGGAGGAGGAGAGGCCGGTGAGTCTTCTGCGGGGTGGCCTCCCTAGCACAGTGGTTCTCAACCTGGGGGTCGGGACTCCTGGAGCGGTCGCGAGGGGGTGTCAGAGGGGTCACCAAAGACCACCAGAAAACACAGAATATTCTGTATTGTCGAAGGCTTTCATGGCAGGAATCACTCAGTTCTTGTGAGTTTTTTCGGGCTATATGGCCATGTTCTAGGGGCATTTCTCCTGACGTTTCGCCTGCATCTATAGCAAGCATCCTCAGAGGTAGTGAGGTCTGTTGGAAATGGGAAAAAAGGGGTTTATATATCCGTGGAATGACCAGGGTGAGACAAAGGGCTTTTGTAAGTTGGGCAAGGACAAGAGGGATCCTCTCACCTCTGCAGGAGTCTACCGTATACCATGCAGCTGTGGACGAGTCTACATAGGGACCACCAAACGCAGCATTGCCCAATCACGAATCAAGGAACATGAAAGGCACTGCAGACTACTCAACCAGAGAAATCAGCCATAGCAGAGCACCTGATGAACCAACCTGGACACAGCATATTATTTGAGAACACAGAAATGCTGGACCACTCTCACAACCACCATGTCAGACTACACAGAGAAGCCATTGAAATCCACAAACATGTGGATGCAGATGACGTCCAACTCTGTCACTTCTTCCCACCTACTACTAAGGAGGCTGTTCAGGTCCTGAACCGGTGCTTGGCCGCTGTATCGGACTGGATGAGGGCTAACAAATTGAAACTGAATCCAGACAAGACAGAGGCTCCTGGTCAGTCGCAAGGCCGAACAGGGTATAGGGTTACAGCCTGTGTTAGACGGGGTCGCACTCCCCCTGAAGACGCAGGTTCGCAGTTTGGGTGTGATCCTGGACTCATCGCTGAGCTTGGAACCCCAGGTTTCGGCGGTGACCAGGGGAGCATTTGCACAGTTAAAACTTGTGCGCCAGCTGCGCCCGTACCTTGGGAAGTCTGACTTGGCCACGGTAGTCCACGCTCTGGTTACATCCCGTATTGATTACTGCAACGCGCTCTACGTGGGGTTGCCCTTGAAGACTGCCCGGAAGCTTCAGATGGTCCAGCGCTTGGCAGCCAGGTTGCTAACGGGAGCGGCACTCAGGGAGCATACCACTCCTCTGTTGAGCCAGCTCCACTGGCTGCCAATCCGCTACCGGGCACAATTCAAGGTGCTGGCTTTAGCCTATAAAGCCCTAAACGGTTCCGGCCCCACTTACCTCTCCGAACGCATCTCCACCTATGAACCGACTAGAACATTAAGATCGTCTGGGGAGGCCCTGCTCTCGGTCCCGCCTGCGTCACAGGCGCGTCTGGCGGGGACGAGAGACAGGGCCTTCTCAGTGGTGGCCCCTCGGCTATGGAATGCCTTACCGGTAGACATCAGACAGGCACCTTCGTTGCTGGCGTTTCGGAGAAAGGTCAAGACTTGGCTTTATGAACAAGCGTTTGGTTAAACAGTGCAACCGAACATAGGAAGACGGTAAATGGAACATAGGAATGGCACAAGGATTATGAGAACGGATCTGATTTCACTGAGGCGCTATGTTTTGATTTGTTAATTGTTGTTGATTGATGTTGTTGATTTTGTTGTTGCATTTGTTGCGTTTTTAATTGCACTGACATTGTTGTGATAACTTGTACCTTGTAAACCGCATTGAGTCGCCTGTTTGGGCTGAAAAATGCGGTATAGAAATAAAGCAAATAAATAAATAATAAATATGGACAATTTCAACAGAAAGGAAGAAACCATGAAAATGAACAAAATCTACGCTACCAGTATTAAAAAATTCTAAAATTGCAACAGCAAAACAGCAGGGAGAAAAACAGGCAGGGACATCTAATCACCTTTCAAGAAGAGTTTACTCCAGGCACTGTCAGCCCATTGTATGCTAATCAAGGTGGTCAGTGGAAAGACTCACACCCAGGCCAACTTACAAAAGCCCTTTGTCTCACCCTGGTCATTCCACAGATATATAAACCCCTTTTTTCCCATTTCCAGCAGACCTCACCTCTGAGGATGCTTGCCACAGATGCAGGCGAAACGTCAGGAGAAATGCCTCTAGAACATGGCCATATAGCCCGAAAAAACCCACAAGAACAGAATTTTCTGTTGGTCATGGAGGTTCTGTGTGGGAAGTTTGGCCCAATTCAGTCATTGGTAGGGTTCAGAATGCTCTTTGAATGTAGGTGAACAACTCTCAAATGTCAAGCTCTATTTTCTCCAAACTTCAACAGTGGTTACATTTGGGAATATTAAGAATCCGTGCCAAGTTTGGTCCAGATCCATCATTGTTTGAGTCCACAGTGCTCTCTTGATGTAGGTGAACTACAACTCCCAAACTCAAGGTCAATGCCCATCAAACCCTTCCAGTATTTTCCATTGCAGATCTCCTGTTGAATGTGGAAAATGATTTAACCCAGTCTGTCTGGCCATGTTCCATAAGCATTCTCTCCTGACATTTCACTTGCACAGTATTTTCTGTTGGTCATGGGGGTTTTGTATGGAAAATTTGGCCCAAGTCTCTCGTTGATGGGGTTCAGAATGCTCATTGATTGTAGGTGAACTATAAATCCCAGCAACTACAACTCCCAAATGTCAAGGTCTATTTCCCCCAAAACTCCACTAGTATTCACATTTAGGCATATTGAGTATTTGTGCCAAGTTTGGTCCAGATCCATCATTGTTTGAGTCCACAGTGCTCTCTGGATGTAGGTGAACTACAACTCCCAAACTCAAGGTCAATGCCCACCAAAACCTTCCAGTATTTTCTGTTGGTCATGGGAGTTCTGTGTGCCAAGTTTGGTTCAATTCCATCGTTGATGGAGTTCAGAATGCTCTTTGATTGCAGGTGAACTATAATTCCCAGCAACTACAACTCTAAAATATCAAGGTCTATTTTTTCCAAACTCCGTCAGTGTTCGCATTTGGATGTATTGGGTATTTGTGCCAAATTTCGTCCAGTGAATGAAAATATATCCTGCATATCAGATATTTACATTTGATTCATAACAGTAGCAAAATGACAGTTATGAAGTAGCAACAAAAATAATTTTATGGTTGGGGGTCACCAAAACATGAGGAACTGTATTAAGGGGGCATGGCATTAGGAAGGCTGAGAACCACTGCTCTAGCACCTTCACTGGGACTCTGGGGGGAGAGAGTGGGGCTTGCCCAACGTCACCTTCCACGACTTCCGTGGCTCAAACCCTGGTTCCCAGGCTTGCAGGGAGGTGTCCACACTGTACACCAGGCATAGGCAAACTGGGGCCCTCCAGGTGTTTAGGACTTCAACTCCCACAATTCCTAACAGTAGGAGTTGGAAGTCCAAAACACCTGGAGGGCCCAAGTTTGCCCTTGCCTGCTGTAGAAGCACTTTACTTACTTAGGCGATCCCTCGTTGGACGAGTAAGATAGTCTTCCATTATGGGTTTCCTTGTGGATACGAATCTGTGGAATCCTATTCTTGACCCGCATCTTCTCCCACAGTGAAGGCATTGGTTTCCAGGTGGAAGGCGGTCCCGGTCGGGGTTGGCTTGACGCACCTTCCTCCTGGCATGTTTCTCTCTTTCACCCTCCCCTCGTGCCTCCTCGAATTCTGCAGCACTGCTGGTCACAGCTGACCTCTAGCTGGAGCGGTCAAGGGCCAGGGCTTCCCAGTTCTCAGTGTCTATGCCAGAGATTTTAAGATTGGCTTTGAGCCCATCTTTAAATCTCTTTTCCTGTCCACCAACGTTCCGTTTTCCGTTTTTAAGTTCAGAGTAGAGCATCTGCTTTGGGAGACAGTGGTCAGGCATCCGGACAATGTGGCCGGCCCAGCGGAGTTTATGGCGGAGGACCATTGCTTCAATGCTGGTGGTCTTTGCTTCTTCCAGCACGCTGACGTTTGTCCGCTTGTCTTCCCAAGAGATTTGCAGGAATTTCCGGAGGCAGCGCTGATGGAATCGTTCCAGGAGTTCCAGAAGCACGTTGGCCTCCTTTTCACTGCCCTGGCTCAATGCTGTGGGGATTCTGGGATGTGTAGTTTGCCAAAGGCTTGCAAAAAATGGCAACTCTCTGATCCCACAGCATTGAGTCCTGTGTCTCTTAGGCCCTGGCTCCTTTCTTGGTCTTGAAAGGAGCAGTGTTTCAGCTGAGTTTCATTTCAGCACCTCGGAGAGCTCTTTTGGAATGTAGGACCTATGATGCTGTTTGAAACTGCATTATGTGGCGAGTGTAGACACCTGTACTGCGATGCCATACGGTAAAACTTACTCATGTGAATTTACACTCCGGTAATGCAGTGCGATGCAGCAAAAGCCATGTATAAATATGTGAAAGGATGCCAGCAGAAAGAGGGAGCAAGCTTGTTTTATGCTGCCCTGGAAACCAGGACTCTGATCAATGGGTTCAGTTTAGAAGAGAGGAGATTCTACTTGAACATTCATAGAATCATAGAATCAAAGAGTTGAAAGAGACCTCATGGGCCATCCAGTCCAACCCCCTGCCAAGAAGCAGGAATATTGCATTCAAATCACCCCTGACAGATGGCCATCCAGCCTCTGTTTAAAAGCTTCCAAAGAAGGAGCCTCCACCACACTCCGGGGCAGAGAGTTCCACTGCTGAACAGCTCTCACAGTCAGGAAGTTCTTCCTCATGTTCGGATGGAATCCCCTTTCTTGTAGTTTAGGAAGCATTAGGAAGAACTTCCTCACCATTTGAGCTCTTCAACAGTGGAACTCTCTGCCTCCGAGTGCGGTGGAAGCTCCTTCCTTGGATGCTTTTAAATGGGCTGGATGGCAGTCTGGCAGGGGTATTTTTATTGTGCTTTTCCTGCATGGCAGGAGGTTGGACTAGATGGCCCTTGTGATTTCTTCCAGTTCTATGATTCTATGAAAACATTATCCTGTGAGTTTAGATTCATGTAAACTCTCATGAGTTTAGTTTCCTGTAAACTCATAAGAGTTTAGACTCCTATAATGCAGTGCAATACAGTAAAACATCATATGAGTTTAGATAAAGGTAAAGGTTTTCCCCTGACATTAAGTCCATTTGTGTCCGACTCTGGGGTGTGGTGCTCGTCTCCATTTCTAAGCCGAAGAGCCGGTGTTATCTGTAGACACCTCCAAGGTCATGTGACCGGCATAACTGCATGGAGCGCCGTTACCTTCCCGCCTGAGCGGTACCTATTGATCTACTCACATTTGCATGTTTTTGAACTGCTATGTTGGCAGAAGCTGGGGCCAACAGCGGAAGCTCACACCACTCACCGGATTCGAACCTGCAACCTTTCGGTCAACTCATATGAGTTTAGACTCATGTAAACTCATATGAGTTTAGACTCCTATAATGCTGTGCAGTGCATGAGTTTAGACTTATGTAAACTCAGAAAAATTTAGACTGCAGTACAGTGTAGTGTGATGAAACATATAAGTTTACACTGAGCATATAATACTGTTTGGAACTGCATTATATGGCAGTGTGGATGGAGCCTTGTCTTAAAACCTGTTGTGAAGGGAAGTTGGGATTCACCACCTTCCTCGCATAGAAACTGCTGGCCTTGATTGGCCTGGGACCTGGGGTCCATCAACACTGTAGAACAAATGGGGTTTGACCCTCTTTGAATTGCCATGGCTCAATGTAATTGAATCATTGAAGCAGTAGTTTGGTGAGACACTGGCACTCATTGGCAGGGAAGGCTAAAAACCTGGTGAAACTGTAGCTTTAGAGATAGTAACATCCTTGCTTTAGGATGATTCAATGCACACACTATTTGTTTCATATACAAAATTCTGAAAAATGTTGTGTATAAAATTACCTGCCATGCAGCAATGTCTTAATGGGGGAAAGTTTGGGATATCAGAGAATCTCCTTCAAACTCTGTATAAGGTATGATATGGGTCTCATCTCATAGGAAAATTCTAGTTTCTCCAGGTAGCTCGGGCCTGTGGCAGTATACAAGTCTAATAAATAAATAAATAAATAAAAAAATAAATAAAATATTTGATGACAAGATCATATGTTACAACTTTTAAAATCTGACAATTTACTAGTTAAAAGATTTCTATAAATATAAACTTCAGTCATTCCATACCAGATCTCTCCGTGATTATGTCACTGAGAGCTATGCTACAGTGTAAACGCTTTGCCCTCATTCAATCCAGTTTCAATAAAAGTAAGGCTACTGAATCAATGGAATTGTACATAATGAGGTATCTTTATGTATATAGATATTTCAAAATCTTTGAATAAGGATACTCAACCTGTAGCATCAATCTTATAGCTGTACTTCTCTAGGGTTGTGGAAGTGTGTTATGTACATTGTTTCATTATTTAACACTGCAAATAGAGTTCGCACAGTAACATAATTGCTAAAGATCTGTGAGACTTTGAGCCTTTTAATATCCATGTTTGTTTTTGACTTCTTAATCCTCTTGTCACACTGGAAGTGATGGAGCATGGAAAGACAGAAAAATTATAGGGCAAAGGTGAGATTAGGGCTGTGTTCTAAAGAAAGTGTGGGTGTATTTATAGCCTGAATTGCACATGAAGTTCAAAGCTATAGTTAAGGTTCTGTTGGAACCAGGGTGAAATAGAACATGTTCATGCTTATGGAGAAAACAAAAACAACACTGCATGCTTTCATATTGCTAATTCCAGTAATACATGTGTCCTAGAAAACTTACTTATGGGATGTTTGTAGTTTTGTGTGATAAGGACAAGCAGATTTAAAGGGGAGGAGAATGCATCTTTTAATATATATATATATTGAAACAACTGCCAAATTATTGGGAGCCAGCATTGCTCTGTCTTCCAGGACTTAGAATGAAATTGCCCATTCTGAATAGGGTAACCACATGAAACAATGAATATTATTTTTAACAGTCTGAAGAGGAGTTCTTTTGGGTACCTTTATTTTTAGCTGCTCCGTAACTGCAGAAATTGAACCTGGTAAAATTCGAGTAGCCTTTTGCACTTTTTTAGTCAAAGACCCTTGTATAGAATTTTCAAGAGGACTTGTCGAGTTTTTGTTTTCTCCACAAAGTGGAAGCATAACAACATGACAAACTCCCATCTGTAAAATTTCTTTCATATAATTGTTGGAAGATAAGGGGTGCTAAAATTATTTTGGTGAAAAATTGGCTATTTCTATAGCTATTAATAGCATAATTATGAAAATACAGTTAATACCCCATAGATGTAACTTACTGTAAATGTGACAGTGTTACTTCAGTATCCTGACTCTTTTCTTCTGTTCAATGTTGTTTGGCAGATAATATATTTTTTGGTGATGAAATTATTGCAAATGGCTTCCATTCCTGTGACAGTGATGAAGATGATAGAGCCTCTCATGCAAGCTCAAGCGACTGGACGCCAAGGCCACGTATAGGTACATATTCAGATGTCTGTCTAGGGATTCTACTTCATTATCTTTCAAGATCATTAACCCACTTACACACATATGCAGTTCTTGCTTTTATTTTCCTAATCAGTGCTTCTATCAACACTCTTTCATAAATGAAACATTATTATTATTATTATTATTATTATTATTATTATTATTATTATGCTTATGAAAATGTGGCCCTTTGAGCTGTTAACCATCTATGTAGTTTTGTTACACACTTGGAATGAGCACCTCGGAAGCATTTTTTGTGAGGGTAAAATTAAACATTACATGTAATTTTGATACTTTTTATTCATTAATTTTCGTTTTAAAAAACACTAAAATCAAGATTGCATTTTAAAGTGGATAAAGCAGTGTCAGGCCAGATTGGCTTCATCTTTTCCCGTTTTGTTTGTTTGTTTGTTTGTTTGTTTGTTTGTTTAAAATATCACCCAACTGTTATTCCCACAAAAGAATAAAGGGTGTCTGAGAAGAAAAGATTCCTTCCTCCTCCTTTCCTGTTTTGTTTTTCAGATGACACCAACACTAGAGGGGAGGCTACAGTTACCAAAATGCATCCTCTCTTTTATAAAATATTAATATTTAATGACAGTCAGTTAAATTGGTCATTTAATCAACGGGCTCTAAGAACTGCTACCCCCAAAATAAGTAATGGGGCATCATGCCAGTGCAACATGATTTGTATGGTTGTTGTTAGACAACAGTTGTAAGGAAATCTGGGGTGCTGGTTGAATCAATATCAATTCTACTCTGATTCTACAGCTACTATAGTGAAAAATAGGTTCAGACTTGCCAGGACTGGGGAAGACAGTCATGAGGATTACATCCAAAGGGTTTTCCTACCACCCCAGGTTTCCTGACACAGATTTCTGAGTTGATACATAGAAATGGTACTTCACCTAATTGTGTTTTGGGTATTAGCTGTATGAATAGTTGAGATGACACATATTAGATACAAACTCTGTAAATGACTCCAAATACACAAATGCTGGAAGTAAGCATCGAATGCTCCTTTTTCAGTACTCAATATGCTTTATAACAGGAGTCCTCAAACTTTTTGAACAGAGGGCCAGGTCACAGTCCCTCAAACTGTTGGAGGGCCGGATTTTAATTTGAAAAAAACATGAATGAATTCCTATGCACACTGCACTCATCATATTTGTAGTGCAAAAAAACACTTAAAAACAATACAATAATTAAAATGAAGAAAATTTTAACAAATATAAACTTATTGGTATTTCAATGGGAAGTGTGGGCCTGCTTCTGGCTGATGAGATAGGATTGTTGTTGTGTGCTTTCAAGTCGTTTCAGACTTAGGTTGACCCTGAGCAAGGGCCGGGTAAATGACCTTGGAGGGCCATATCCGGCCCTCAGGCCTTAGTTTGGGGGGCCCTGCTTTATGATATAGTTAGGTTAGTTTAATTGTAAAGCCTTAGTAATTAAACATTTCTTATTGGCAGAAAATGTCATTCCTTGTAATCCAAGTCTAGTGGTACCTAAAATATGTGTTCTAGATCTGTTTTTTCTTTTCCAAGAACAGAGAAAGAGATCTGGCATCAGAGGGCAAAATCCAACCTAAAATGTCCCTGTCAGTCCTTCAGGAAGCTTCTCGGGCTTTTAAGTGAAAAAAGGAACCACGTTTCAGAGGAGTTTTAGTAAATGGCAAACAAAATGCCCTTCCTGTGACAGCGAAAACATTTTAAAAAAATAAAATGCTAGGGAAGAGGGCTGTTCCTGCCTCCTTTCTTTGCTTCCTGGTATGGAGCCTATCATGGCTTTGCTTAAGATGGGCCCAATGCTCTGATCCTGACGATTCATAAGATTCTTGAAATCAGAATGGATTAGGAAACTCTGTGAGTTGGTGAAACATAGGAGTTTATTAGTTTGACAGATATTCAGGAAAAGAGAATGTATTCTGATTTACAGTTGGGTTGGAACTTTGTGTTTGTAAGAATAATGTTTGTCTTTATAATAGGAAAAATGACAGTTGATATTGGTAGCCCTGATTCATGAAGCTATTTATTTATTGCATATTTGACACAATGATATCTTACAACTTTTAAAATCTGTACATTCAAGATTAACTGGTAATAGATTACTAAAAATATAAACTTCATTAGAGATTTTTTTTTTCATGAACCACTTTGTCTCAATTTACTTAAGTCTCAATAAGTAAAACTACTGATTCAGTGGAAGATTCACAAGTCAGTACATATGTTGCATTACTTCAGTGATTCTATTCTAATTGGTATTCATAACTGAATTTCACTTGAATTGGTTGGGGTTTAACTTGTTTAATAGAAATGTAACAGACTATAGTTTTGATCATTTCTACTGCCAAATTTTCAAGCTGAGTATACTGTGTCATCCAGTTCACAATCATTTTATTTTCTTTAATAGGTCCATACACTTTTGTCCAGCAACATCTCATGATAGGAACAGATCCACGTGCAATTCTCAAAGACTTATTGCCAGAAACAATACCTCCCCCTGAACTGGATGACATGACATTATGGCAAATTGTAATTAATATTCTCTCAGAACCACCTAAAAGAAAAAAGAGGAAAGATATTAATACTCTAGAAGATGCTGTGAAACTCCTACATGAGTGCAAAAAAATAATTGTCTTAACTGGAGCAGGGGTATGTATTTAATGTTGGATGAAATGTATGGATCAGTATTTTAATGTACTACTCCTAGATATTTGTTTTGAGAGTGGATTGCTTTGTGTTGTGTTAGTGTAAATGTTAGTGATGCTCCTAGGCAGATATTTCTCTAGTAAAATGACACATTTATAACACAAACCTCACACCTTTTCTCTCATATTTATTTATTTATTTATTTATTTATTTATTTACTGCATTTGTTAACCGCCGCTCTCAGCCCAAGGGCGACTCGCGGCGGTGTACAACATATAAAAACAGTATACAATAAAGCACAACAAAATCAACATTTCACTAATACACACTAAACTAATTTACACTAAGCTAATCCGCATCGTCACACATAGAATCATAGCCAATCTCATAGTCCGTATTCCGTTCCAGTTGTCATTACCAGTTTGTATAGCACTCAATTAAATGCCTTTTCAAATAGCCAGGTCTTTAGGCTCTTACGGAAAGCCATAAGGGAGGGCGCCTGTCTGATGTCTACAGGGAGAGTGTTCCACAGCCGGGGGGCCACCACCGAGAAGGCCCTCTCTCTCGTCCCCGCCAGACGTGCCTGTGAGGCAGGCGGGATCGAGAGAAGGGCCTCCCCAGACGATCTCAAGGTCCTCGTGGGCTCATAGGCCAAGATGCGGTCCGAAAGGTATTTTGGGCCGGAACCGTTTAGGGCTTTGTAGGATAACACCAGCACCTTAAATTGGGCCCAGTAGCAAATCGGCAGCCAGTGGAGCTGGGACAACAAGGGCGTTGTGTGCTCCCTGCGTCCTCTCCCGTTAGTAACATGGCTGCCGCGCGCTGGACTAGCTGAAGCTTCCGGGCCGTCTTCAAGGGCAGCCCCACGTAGAGAGCGTTGCAGTAGTCAAGGCGGGATGTGACCAGAGCGTGTACCACCGTGGCCAAGTCAGACTTCCCAAGATACAGGCGCAGCTGGCGCACGAGCCGAAGCTGTGCAAATGCTCCCTGGTCACCCCTGAAACCTGGGGATCCAGGCTCAAAGATGAATCCAGGGTCACACCCAAGCTGCGAACCTGCGCCTTCAAGGGGAGTGCGACCCCGTCCAGCACAGGCTGTAACCCTATACCCTGTTCGGCCTTGCGACTGACCAGGAGTACCTCTGTCTTGTCTGGATTTAATTTCATATATATATATATATTCATTCATTCATTCATTCATTCATTCTACTTTTCCAAAACTTGCTCAGAAAAAGGACACATTTGATAGTAGACAGGTGACTGTTACTGCTTTAACAAATGTATTGATTTGAGACATGTTTAATTTTGTGTTGTTGTGCCTGCCTTCCTGCTCTCCTCCTTCTTCGGGGCCAGCAGCAGAGCAACTGCCTGGGGAAGATTGCAAAATGAGCAAGACTGGAGAGCAAAGGGGAGGCTGCTGCTGGGTGCAAAAGGGAGGCCTTTTGCTCATTTTGTAATCTTCCCCAGGCAGTTGCTCTGCTGTTGGCCCTGAAGAGGAAGGAGAGCAGGAAGGCAGCCCCACCGGGACCCCTGGGTCTCAAAACTCCCTCAGTTCTCCTCCCCTCAGCAGACTGTTGGCTGGAAAGGTGGATAGATTGCAATGGGAAGGGAACAAGTGATGACGTGGGAAAGGAGGCTGGGAAAGTGGAAAGACGGGGTGGGACTAGGGGCAAGACAGGGAAATGGGAAAGACAGGCTGGAACCTGGGAAAGGGAGCTGGAAAAGTGGGGGAGAGGGGCTGGGGATAGTGAAGACTGGGGATAGTGAAGACTGGGGCATGAAGGCGAGGAACTAGACTGAGATGGGAGTGGAAGGCAAGAGAGCTCAGCACAGGCGCGCACCCTCTCCGCACAGCAACCACGCGCCCCTTCCTCTCCTCTTCTCGGAGCACTCTCTCTCTCTCTCTCTCTCTCTCTCTGCACTTGCCTTCTTCTCCTCTCTCTCCCCCAGCTGGGTTGATGTGCCAAGAGGGCGACAGAGGTGGAAAGGTGAGGGTCCTCGCAGGTAGGTGAAGAGATTCTTTCAGCTCCACGCCTTCCTACCAGGACCCTCACTCGAATATAAGCCAGGGGAGACTTTTTCAGCCTTAAAAAAGGGCTGAAAAATCCGGCTTATATTCGGGTATATACGGTAATAGATGGGCTGATATATAGTTTAAAACAAAACTTAGAGGTTCGCAGCTCTCCCATACAATAAGTCTTTGGTCGCATGTGCTTCTGAGCACAAGCAAAACATTATGCTACAGTCCTTATAAATCAGACATTTTCATGGAAAGCTTACAAAGTTGCTAAAGAATAGTATTAGCAGTGGTTGAACTATGCTCTGATTTCCCACTCCTTCATCTGTCTCCCCCACATCTCCCTAATCTGCTTAGGAAATGTATTGGGCTCTCTTACGTAATCTTTCTACAGTTATAATCAAAGTGTCCTCCCTTATAGTATTTTTCATATACTGAGTAACAGTTACAAAGAAACAACACTGTTTGGGGTGAAGGGGAGAAGTACAGTTGTCAGTTGTGACTATACATTTGGTTTTAGTGTGTTTTCTTGATACTCAGTTATTTTGTACCAGCAACTTAACTTCAAAATGTATGACATTTGTAATACTATTAAATCCTTTTCAGGTATCTGTTTCTTGTGGAATTCCTGATTTCCGATCAAGAGATGGCATTTATGCTCGTCTTGCAGTAGATTTCCCAGATCTTCCTGATCCTCAAGCAATGTTTGATATTGAATACTTCAGAAAAGATCCAAGACCATTTTTTAAATTTGCAAAGGTGCTGTTTATTTATCTGTTGTTCTAGAAAAGGGGCATGAGTAATCTGCCAGAAAAAAATTATTTATCTCAAGAAAAGTTAGTTCTCTTGCCATACTTGTTGTGCCCTTATCATGGCCAGCAATTATTGCTCAGAACCCCCCCCCCCATGGTTAAATATTCCACTATCATACTACAAGCAACTTTTATATTTGCATGTTGCAATTTTTCACATTTAAACAGTATTTAATATTTGTTTAGTAAAATGCAAAAAAAATCCCTTTAGTCAGAAATTAGTCTTATATAATAAGTATTATTATAGATTAGTACCATACTTTTAGTAATTTAAATTGCTGTGTTATTCAGAGATTAAGAATAGGTTGTCCTCTAAATAATGTTGCACCTCCCGCTGGCCAGGTATAGTGGGAGCTATAATCCTGCAGCATCCTGAGGCACACATGTAGCCCGGGCTACATGTGTGCCTTCCTATTTGTAGGGTGTTTTTACAGGGATCTGTCTAATTATCTGTCTGGTTTTTTTTTAAATAATATTTTTCAAAGCCAATTTTAGCACAAATTCAGATAACTTCACTGATAGACAGTGAAATAATGCAGTCCTGTACATGTGTACTCAGAAAGAATACCTCTGCTAGACTGTGCATGAGATTACATCTTAATTCAGTGGTAGAGACAAGGGACTACCATGTGGTAACAATTATGGAGCTAGAAAGAAGTAGCCTCAAACCTCCTGAGATGGAGAGTGATAGTTGTTACTTTTCCCAGCTGCATAACTAGAACACAATAATGACCTGGAAGATTCTGTCCATTGATTGGTGGAAGAGCCTATGTATCTTGCCTATGTACCTTGAGCCCAAAGGCATACTCAAAGCTTTGCAAAATAATGATAGTAAAGAATTAAGGCTCCAGCAGCTCTTGAACGAGATACTAGCCTAAGGCTATAGTCCTGCAGCTGAATATAAGAAAATCAGAAGATAACTTCTTTAGCCATAGTGGACAACCAGTTATCAATGAAAAACTTAGCAAGACAGAAGTGGAATGCCACCATCTTATTTATGCTCTCTGTCAAATAGAAGTAAATTGTCTGTACATAATTGGAGTTACTACAAAGTCCAATATTGTGCTGTATGTTATGTTTTTCAGCAGATGTGATTAAGACGTGTGGGTTGTTCTGGAAATGGGAAGGCCTGGGGGAAAAAATAGAAAAATTGAGGGGAAAATGGGTAAAAAATGGGGGGAAACAGAAAAGGGGGGCAGAAAAATTGGGGGAAACGGGGACTGTTTTTTCCAGACCTTCCTATCTAAATATGCACCAATTATAAACCAAAATGAAATAATTGCTTTTTCCAAATTTATTTATGTAAATGTATTTACTTTTGCAGGAAATATATCCTGGACAGTTTCAACCATCCCTTTGTCATAAATTTATAGCTTTGATGGATAAAGAAAGGAAACTACTGCGTAATTATACTCAGAACATAGATACTCTGGAACAAGTTGCAGGAATTCAAAGAATAATTCAATGCCACGGTCAGTCAAGCTTAAATTTTCTTCCATACTGAATCTAGGAGTTAAGTTGATGACCTAAGATTGTGTATGCTGAATCTTTCAGAATTTTACATCTTCCATTACCTAATTATCAAAGAATATATAAGCAACATACTTTCTGCTTGCACAACTTTTTATTATGCATGGGGTTGTACTCTCCTGGAATTTATACAAGGCTAGCACTAACGCCTCTTGCGCAAGCAGTTTCGTATTGCCTCAGAGAGTAGGGCATCACTTGCTCCCTCCACGCTGAGATTGTGCCTGCACTGTGATGACCTCTTCCTTCCCTAGCCCTCCTTTGTGCCTATCCCCTCCTTTGGCATGCTATACCATCTGCTTCTTGTCATCATGGGCTGATCAGTCACCATTTTTGTACCTGTTCAAAGTGAATATCATGTTTTAATCATAACCAGCACTTTTAAAGGTCCTTGAATCAGTTGGCCAGTGATGATAATGCCAATGGTACTGGCAGCAGCAGCTAGTAAGAATGGGAGCTTTTTGCCACTCCAGTTTGGAATTGGATTTAGGGTGCTGCCAACTTCCAGTATTCAAGCCAATCAGTTCAAAAGTTTGCCATGAATTATAAGAGTTCGACATATTTGTTGACATTATCGTAATGACACTCATCCCCTTTGCAAAATAATGATAGTAAAGAATTAAGACATGCATCATTGTGTCCAATTCTGGGCACCACAATTCAAGAGAGATATTGACAAGCTGGAATGTGTCCATAGGAGGGCGACTAAAATGATCAAGGGTCTGGAGAACAAGCCCTATGAGGAGCGGTTTAAGGAGCTGGGCATGTTTAGCCTGAAGAAGAGAAGGCTGAGAGGGGATATGATAGCCATGTATAAATATGTGAGGAAGCGAGCAAGCTTGTTTTCTACTTCCCTGGAGACTAGGATCTGAAACAATGGCTTCACACTACAAGAGAGGAGATTCCATCTGAACATGAGAAGAACTGAACCGTGAGAGCCGTTCAGCAGTGGAACTCTCTGCCCCGGAGGGAGTGTGGTGGAAGCTCCTTCTTTGGAAGCTTTTAAACAGAGGCTGGATGGCCATCTGTGGGGGTTTTGAATGTAATTTTCCTGCTTCTTGGCAGGGGTTTGGACTGGATGGCCCATAAGGTCTCTTCCAACTCCAGGATTCTATGATTCTATCATAGTTGGACTCGGCCATCATCAAAAACTTTTTGTTATGAGACTGGGCTGTTTTCTATCTATCTATCTATCTATCTATCTATCTATCTATCTATCTATCTATCTTAGGCTTGTAGGCTGTGAACTAGATTTGCTGAATGGCAACCTCCATCATCCCTAACAAAGATGGTCAATAATATAAATATTGCCTGGATACCATCAGGTTGTAAATAACAAAAATGTGGGGGGGGGGGGGGCACAACTTGCTGGGAAACAACAATGAAGTTCTGGAGATACGTGGCTTAGAATCATAGAGTTGGAAGAGACCTCATGGGCCATCCAGTCCAACCCCCTGCCAAGAAGCAGGAAAATTGCATTCAAAGCACCCCCAACAGATGGCCATCCAGCCTCTGTTAAAAAACCTCCAAAGAAGGAGCCTCCACCACACTCCGGGGCAGAGTTCCACTGCTGAATAGGCTCTCACAGTCAGGAAGTTCTTCCTCATGTTCAGATGGAATCTCCTTTCTTGTAGTTTGAAGCCATTGTTCCGTGTCCTAGTCTCCAGGGCAGCAGAAAACAAGCTTGTTCCCTCCTCCCTATGACTTCCTCTCACATATTTATACATGGCTATCATGTCTCCTCTCAGCCTTCTCTTCTTCTTCAGGCTAAACATGCCAAGCTCTTTAAGCCCCTGATCATTTTAGTCGCCCTCCTCTGGACACATTCCAGCTTGTCAACATCTCTCTTGAATTGTGGTGTCCCGAATTGGACACAATATTCGGCCGTGGTCTACAATTCTATCTTGTTTAGTCACTACACTCCCTAGGGAAGCAGATTTGCTATGCTGTATATCGCTGGTCCCTCCCAGTTATGTCCCAACTTTGGGATAGATGCAGGAAGGCAAGAACGCTTTGTCATAATTAGTATGTGTTAGAGGGTGCTACGCATACATATTTTCCTCTATGACGCTGACCTTTCCACGTATCTGTAATACTGCCATTTGTGCTCAGTACGGTGGGACCTGCGTTGGTCACTTACGTTCTGGGAAGTGCTAGCCAAGCAAACCTACAA